TGAAAATTAGTAATAAATCTTTATTTGGTAAATTTAAATCTGGACTATTAGTTAGGGCTCCAAGAATTTTTAACATAGTAACTGCCACATCAGTGTCCATAAAGCATATAGAAAATTAGAACAACTTATTTAGTGATATAAAAGTAGAAAAGATAAAATTCATTATAACTCTCTAGACTGCGAATCTTTGTACATTTATGGCAGGTACAGATTTTTGGCATACGCGAAAATTTATAAATGAACAAAGTCTAATAACAATTTTATTCCAGTTTTAGAAAAAAAGAAGAAACTTTTCTTTAATCCTAATTTTTATAAAGCGACGCATGAAAATTAGAAATTGCATAAGATCAGCAGTCCAAGTATAACATTTACTTCTGTATCCTTCGTACAGCTCGTATATAGATCCTGACACAGTTCGGCTCACTTAATGGATTGTAATAAGAATTAATTTACTAGTTTAATAAAATATATTATGTCAGTGATATACGACTGACGCGACACTAAAAGTATTCAAAAATATCACATTCCCTGAAGTTCTACCTATAATATAAGGCCTAGTGCCGGAATGGAGACTTTGAAATTGACGTTGTAATGGACTATAAAGTTTCAGTGTACTCCGGTTTAGGTAAGCTCCACCACTACGTCAACTGTCTGTACCGCCCACCATGCCCGTTATTACCTCCGATGTGGACTGAAAACAACGTCGACAGGTATCATACTCGTTTCGATGACCTCAGTTAAGTTGCAGAACGGTTTTATTAACTACGAGAGGCACGTTTCTCGAAACTATACAGGGTGACCCATTTAAATCGATTCAGTCAAATATCTTCGACAACCGTCGACGATATTAAGAAATGTTTCAAACGAAATTTGAATAGTTTTAGGGAGCATTTAATTTGATATTAATAAGATTTCTCTAGATGAACGGCTCGAGGTCATATGAAGGTCAACTTTATTTTTTTAAATGGGATCATATTTTTTATTATACCGGTCGATTCAGCTCGTCGTTCTCTGCATAAAAATACTAAGAAATTTCTTACGAAAAATCAATAATTTAGAAATGTCTCTACAGTGTGTCATGTAAACAGTTCACCCTGAAACAGTCTGCATACAACACCATTTATCGTACAAATTAGTGATTTTGTCTATTTTTTGTATAGTGTATAAAATTTATGAAAGTATGATAAATATTAAATTTTTTATTGTGCACAATTATTGAGACTCAGTCTTCAGGGGAGAGCGGCACAGTAACAGATTTTAGTAGATCATAGACACACGGTAACTGGCTCCAGAACTTTTTTTTCTTTCTCCTAATTTTCAAAGGAGATTTGATACTTGTGTAATGGGAAAATTTATATTGGTAAAAAAGAATTCCTTAAGAATTTAAGTCATTTTAATTTAGTTTAAATTGCTAAAGTTGTATTTAGTAGCGAAAGGCTGCTAACAGGGCACAGTAATTGGCTCCTCTACCTTAACTTCTTTCATCTTATTCTTAAGAAACACTTCACCTTCAACAGAAAACCAAAGAATTAATCCTCTACAGACTTTTAGGCCATCGAATCCATTATCGTTATCCTCGTCAGTGTGTGTCGACGGGACGAAACAAAAAAAAAGACAAACATAACAGGTCGGCCGCGGTTTATCTCGCTCTTATGTTTTTTTTTCTTTGGTGCGTAGATAATAAAAATCGTTCAACACGAGCGATTGCGGGAAACGGATCGATCATCGGTCGAACGTGTCGACGAAATACATTATGTAAAAGGAAGTACCCGGAATTTGTAAATAAAACACAAACCATGTACTTGTATATTCATCAATCTAATTTTGTCGCCTTCAAAATAGGTGCCATCTCTGCGTCAATATCCGTACAGTGTGTTAAAAAAGTTTTTGTGCACCTTTTAAAACAGAACAACTTTTTTATAATTGAGCCAAGCGATTTAAATCTTTTGGGAGCGTTAGTGGGATTAGTTCACTAGACAATGGCTAAAAAGTTATTTTCAAATATAAGAATGATGTTTCTTCAACTTTCACATCTGAGCCTATAATGAAAATTTAAACAATGCACGTTCAAGATCTTGGTAACTTGTATGCATACTGAAAATTTCATTAAATTGATTAACGTTGTTACGAGCTACAGACAATTAAAGATTGCAAAAATCGCAGTTCTTCACAGCTTTCGACCGATAACTACAAGAAATCTCGAGTGTCTGCAATCTTTAATTGTTTGTTGCTTATAACAACGTTATCCGATCCTGACTCCCGTCGCGCGTCTCGCTTCCCGTGATATGTATGTGTAGGTGAGTAGTATGTGTGTGTGTCTGTGCACATTTGGCGATCACCGTGGAGCGCGACGGGAGTCAGGAGGCGTAGCCTTCGCGTGCCTCGTGTTGCGTGCTGGTTAATTCCGAGCCCTGCTGTAAAGTAAAAATCGTACATCAAAGTCTAAGGGGTAATTGTAAAGGGGAGACTTCAATGTTGAAATCTACGTTAGGATCAGTCGTGAAACAAATTTTCCAGTGTATTTACAGACGTTTCAATCCGTAACATTTTCCTAAGTTTTTTCCTCCAGTTTCCCACCTATTACATTACGCAAAAGCATGTTACAGGAAAATGAACTCTCCGTGACGTAAGTAGAAGACAATTAAGAAATATTGATAATTTCTAATAAATCAGAGATACAGTGTACGAACACTTTTCATACTGACGGTAGATAATGTACAACAAATTGTTTCGATACATGTACCACGAGACTTTAGAACGTGAAATTCCGGGTGCATTTTTCCATAATATAGTCTCCCTCTTTCGAGAACAAGAAGAAACTTGCCGCCGCTTTCCGCAGCGGAAAGATCCGCTGGGTGTTCCGCGTCTCGGTTAATCGCGAGTTTTAAAATAGATCTTTCGAGCAGAAACCAGATGTGCCCTGTCTCAAGTCGGCAAACACAAGAACGCACGGGGCAGAAACTAAGACCGTTCGTTCCTACGTTCGAGAGTGGTGAACCGATTTAGGGTAGTGGAGTCGGTTACTGTGGGGTGACCATATTCACGTAT